CTATTCTTGATATCAACAATTCAATTGTTACAAGTAAAAATGACAATTTTTGATATCTGAAAATGTATTTCTGATATCAATATTATTTCAGATAACAATCACATTCATGATATCAGAAATTAAAATTGTCACTAGTAAAAATTGAATTATTGATATCAAAAATGAACATTGTTACTAGTAGCATTTCAATTGTGGATATCAAGAATAGACATTTCAACTAGTAACAATTGAATTCTTGATATCAAAATAAAGGTTTTTACTAGTAATAATTGTATTTTTGATATGTGAAATGGAATTTCAACTAGTAAGAAATCAACAATTAGTTTTGAATGGCAGCCTATGGTGACATTTCACTAGTGAAAATACAATTGAAGAGTTCAGATGCAAAAGCCTCTAAGTGCCATTTGAAATTTTCTTCTAGAATGATCATTTTTATCAAGCTTGTATATTTAAGTTCAGTGATTTCACTTAAATGGCAATGATAATTAACTATTAATTGTTATTTAAGTGAAATTACTGAACTTAAATATACAACTTTGAAAAAAATCATCATTAAAGAAGAAAATTTCAAATGGCATTTAGAGGCTTTTGCATCTGAACTCTTCAATTGTTGATAACAAGAATTACATTTTTGATATCAAATATGTAATTCTTAATATCAACAATTGAATTCTTGATATCAAAAATGTAATTGTTGATATCAAGAATTGATATCAACAATGAAATTGTTGATATCTAAAAATGTAATTGTTGATATAAAGAATTCATATTCTGGAAATGAATAAAAGCTAAAATGGCTTGCCATAAGCACAACCGTTTTCAACATTCATAATAATAAGAAATGTTTCTTGAGCAGCAAATTACAACGATTTCTGAAGAATCATGTGGCACTGAAGACTGGATTGCAAAATTCCACTTTGCCATCAAATTTTTTTAAATTAAACATTATCACATTATCACTGTTTTTACTTAATTTTCAGCCTTGGTGAGCATAAGAGTCTTCTTTTTAAAACCTTTAAAAATCCATAACGATCCCAAACTTTTGAACTGCAGTGTGTGTGTGAGGAATGCTTCTAATATATCACTCAGTTTCAGATGTGTGTGAAGCTTCTGCAATGAATTTTAGGCAGTCATCATTTAAGAAACTCATTTACCCTCAACCATAACATGACCCACAGACCGACCCTTCTTACGACTCTTTCATCTTCGATAGCACAGTCGTTCCCCTGAGATCACCGGTGTTCTGCCTGATCCTATCGATATGCACTTTTCCCCTTTCAGATTCATTAAGCAGTTTTTTGGGGGGAATAAAGTCAAGCATCTTTCAGTAGTAAAGCGTGTTGCTGTTTTGCCTTAGGACAAGCCTGTTACAGATTCAAGGAGGAATGCTGATATGGTTGAATTATTTAGAAAGGCGTTCAGGTAAATGCCCCTGACAGATAATAGGAGAATGATGACCTGACACAATCACAGACGCCTGTTGGCACGCAGCGTATCAAAGACACATCAGGCCTGACAGGAAGTGCACCCACCTGGGATTTACAATACTCCATCCACCTGAATGGATAAAAGCACACGAAGAACGCACCCATTGACAGCAGAGAACCAAAGATTGAGGGAAAAGAAATGCATCGAAGGTTTGAGCACTTGTCAAAAGCTGATGTCGACAGAATTTTAATGGCTGGTGTTTGTGGTGGAGTGCTTAACTCAGGGGAAACTTTGTCTTCCAGTTTGAAAAGGAACAAAACTGCTGCTCGTCCTACTGAAAGGACGAGTGGACTTTTTAAGGTTTTGAAGTGCTTCGTCTCTCTCTCTAGAAAACAAATTCATGTTTCATTCTTGTTTACACAAATATGAGTTTTGTGTCTGTCATTAGAAGTGGCGGGAGCTCAAGCCGAGGTGTTTTTAATGTGTAAACAGACCCTCCAATTTAAACACCTGGTGTTGAAGTGTAAACGGTATCCAAAATATTTTGTGCTCCAATTTTTCAGGGATGCATTTGGCCACATCACTAATGCATCATAAACGGTTCCAGATGACAAAAAAACACCATGCGAACTACTCAGCCTTAAAGAGAAGAAACTAATGTTAAAACATAAACATAATGTATCATTGAATCATTCATCTTTAAATAAACGATTTAATATTGGTAATGATTCCAGTTATTATTATTATGATGATTATTTAGGGTATTATTTGCAACATAGTGGTGCACTGCTGGCACATATCTTATTTTTGGAATAGTCCAATGAAATAAATATTTAATTTTGCCTGATTTGCATGTAATGTCAAATTTTTAGAGTAAGAGATTCATAGTCAGAATATAAAAAACTAAAATAATAATACAAATAATGTTAAGTTAAATTATTGATTATCTATTTGTTTATTTAATAAACTTGTTTTATGCAAGTAATACATGAAAAAAATTGGGAATGGCAACAGTTTTCATGAATTATTATTATTAATAAGAGTATTTGCTGTAAAATGGCATAGTTGTGGGCCAAATCAGGTAATTATTTTTTGCAAAATCAATTAAAAAAGAGAAAATAAACCTTAATCATAATAATAAATGTATTACTGATTGTGAATGTAGTATTATATTATTAATCACTTATTTATTTAATACACTTTTTTGGATAACCAAACAAACAAATAAGACCGATTATGTTTTCATGCTAATTTGTAATAATAACAAAATTATTAAAATCAGTAAATTATTAAAAGTATTATTAATACATATGAATTATTATTATTTAGGGTATGAGCTGCAATATAGTATATCATACCACTATCCAACCCTGATGGATCTACCCCTGGTTTATTATTATTTTAGGATTATTATTATTGGTTTACTATTATTATTTGTTTATTATATTATATTATTATTATTATAAACCAATAATAATAATAATAAAAATAATAATTTTATTTTTGTAAAATAGTGTAAAATAGTGGTACAATATACTAAAAAATAGTGTAAAATAGTGGTACAATATACTAAATTGCAGCTAACACCCCAAATGATAATAATAATAATTACAACATAATAACAAAACAGAATTATTATTATTATTATTATTATTAAGGGCCCTATCAGCAATATAGTGGTGTATTGGTTGTGCAAATCAAAACAGTAAAATGAAATAAATGAACTACAGACACAAATCCGAGACAATCACAAGGACAGTCATATGGAATTATGGGTAAATTATCTTGAATGTAACATTACTACCAAGTGTAAAAGGGTCCAAGAAGCATCATTTTGAACACATCCCCCCCTAAACCTACAAAACATACAAGACCCTTATTCTCCAACTCATCGTAACATACAGTGACTTTGCCCGACCCATCTGATAGAGTCAAACAGACGACTGAGAGAGAACCTAGAGATTTATGGATGCATAAGCGCAGATGTATGTGTGTGACATGCTTTAATGAAAAAGCACTCTGGACTTGTTGGGTCAGGCTTGTTTACCTCTTGTGAAACAGAGTGGCACTTTCATCTGTCTTCTGCTCTAATTGGACGCTCCGCTTCGACTCTCACCGTTCGAGTACGGATACACACACACTGTGACGTGTGGCAAATTCTCCTGCGTGTTTACCTCTCGCGCTCATAATGACAGCTATTTCTGCAGCTGCTCAGCTGTTTGCATCTGAAAGCTGGTTCTGTAGTTTCACACCGCCACGGATGCAGATAAACCCACTGTACACAATACAATTCAATGAACGCGCTGTCCTCATTTACTCACCCTCGTGTCATTGCAGATTCAAATTTTGGTCATTTTGTCACACAAAAGCTTTTGTGTGCTACTAAGAATACTCCTAGTTGCTGCAAAGAAGAACGTCACAATTAAATGGCTTCAGAAAATGGCTCTGGTTGTGGACCGTGAGCGAGATTCATGTTATGGAAAGAATAATGCACAGCTTTAGACTCCTAATGACTCAGTTTAATGGGTGAGATGTGGTGGTAAAGTTTTTGAGCACATATTTTTCTGTATTACAATTGACTTTGGGTCAAAAGCTATGTCATACGGACCACTTTTATGGTGCTTTTTGATCAGTACAATATTGAAAATGATTTTGAGTTTCCCTAAAGAAATGAATGAGGATGAGCAAACAATAACAGATCAGTATATTAATAACAGTTTTTTATAATGAGTGTTTTTTCTCCATTATTTTTCAGCTTTATTTCAATGAATGAAGCAAAGCTGTTATGAAATCTTACCAACAAATTATTCTAGCTATTTTGGTCTTATTTATACTATAGCATTTATTAATATTTTGAATATATTTGCAGTTTACACTGTTATTTCAGGTTAAGTTTTAGTAATTTTCTTATATGCGTTGTGATTTTTATTCGTTTTTTTATATTTGTATTTAGCTGTAGTTTTATTAATTTGAGTTCTTTTTTTAAGATTTGTATTTGTTTTTAATTTTACATTAACTTTTTTTTTAAGGTAATTAAATGGTATGTAATTTTACAATAACAACTGTTTATACGTAGTGTTATTTTAGTATTGTTTATATGATACTATAGTATTTATTAATATTTTTTTATTTTTAGATTTGTAGTGTACACTGTAATTTTAGTTTTAGCAATTGACATCATGTGAGATTTTCTTTTAAATATTTATGTTTCAGTTTTAAGAATTTTATTAATTTTTATTATTCCTAGCCTAGCTTTATTTTTTTATTTTTAGCTTTATTTATTATTAAATTTCAGTTTTAAATTTAGTAATTTTAGTACTTTCCAATTTTTTTTTCGTATTTCAATTATTAAAATACTATTTTTTAGATTTGTAGTTTACATTGCAAATTTAGTTTTAGCATTTTGTTATGTGTTTTGTCAATTTTATTATTATTTTTTTTATATATATATATATATATATATATATATATATATATATATTTCTAGTTCGATATAGTTCAGAAATACTCTGTACAACAGACTTCCCAGCATCTGCATCCTGAATGAGCATTTGAGCAATAGTGAAGGATACTTCCCCGGAGGCCCCGCAGACACTCTATAGTTGCTGTAGCTGTTGGTTGGGTGGAAGTTGAAGATGAAGATGACGTTACCCCTCTCAAAGACTATCACCTTGTCTCCATCGTGCTTGGTGCTGACGTAAGCCTAGAGAGAGAGAGAGAGAGAGAGAGAGAGAGAGAGATCAAAGATTGAGCCCAGTGAGATTGCATGAGATTTGTGTGCTTTTAATCACACATGTTCTGTATCTCAGCCTATGGATGTTTAAACTTTCGAAGTAAAGTTACGGTTCCTATCTGTACGGATATTATTGAAAATCCCATTTTCCCCTTTTCATGCCCTGTGTATGAACTCATTGCTAATCATCATCCCTAAGTAAGAGGGATTTTGAGGAGGGTCTTACAGGAACACTGAACTTTGATAGTAAGCAAGTAAAGATGAAAAGATAACCCTTTTTTTTGGATAAAAAGAACAGATTAAATAAAAGATAAAAACAACTATTACAGAGACAGTAAAAATCGAAAATGATAATAAATAAAATGTTTAATTACATGTATTTTCCATTTATTTATGTTTATGAAGAAACATGTATATATTATATACGTAATGTATAAAATAACATATATATATATATATATATTACAACCCTTAAGTTATTATAATAAATAAATAAAATTGTTGATTAGATAATATTGTTAATTTGAGCAAAATAAATATTTATGAAAGTACAACACTGGGAATGATTCTTCAAAGGAAAAGTAAAGGAAGTGTAAGAATGAATTATTTATTATTTTAAACATATATTTATGAATAAATAATAAATCATTATTTATAAATTAAAGTCTTACAGAAAGTCTCTCATTGCGCTTACATTTCTGAGTATGCAAGAAGCTTCATTTTGCTAAAGGATGACATATCAAATACAAGATAAAAACAATTAAAGACGATACAATAATAATAAAAGAAATAATAATAATAATAATAAATAAAATGTATTATGCAAATAAATACATACATAAATAGAAGAAAAAAGATTGGGAATGACTACATTCTTACATTTAAGAGCACATTCTTTGTGTAAAATTCATATGTATTCACATTTATGTATTTTTGCATTATGAGTTTTTATTTCCAAGTAGTGTTTATTTCTAATTGTATCGTATATTGGAGATTTGGTGGCCCATATCCGCTTATTTTTGCAACCACATAATTTCACATAAAATAAATCATGGAAAATATTTCTCTTCTCATATAGAAAAACATTTTCAAAGCATTCCTTCCACTAAAGATCTTTCTTCTGCAAAACACAGACCCCCTCAAACTACTCAAACTCCAAACTTTTGAAGAGCAGATATTTTTTATTCAACTGAAATCCAGAGATGGCACTCTTGGGGCAAAACTCCAGCTCACTGTCAGCAGCAGACGACTGCGAATGATTCAGCTGCTGGAACACCAGTCTGTAACGTGCCATTAACAGAGATTATCAATGTCACTCTGCCCCGCTATTTTTGGTGGCCCAGACCGTCAGCCAATTTGGGATATGAATTCGAAAGAGAGATACGAAAAGAAGAGATAAGATAAGAAACGCTCGTATTCAACAGGGAACAAGAATAGTCAGAATTACTCAGGACTCATTTGCATTGAGTTGGATTAAGGATGCTTGGTCAGGACCTCTTGACATCACTTTTTACCACCCAAGGCTCATTGATGCAGGAGGCTAATGAAGGCCATCCTGTCTGGTCCGAGCCAACAGAAGGTCTACTGTGCCACAAGTCACACGCAATTTTAATGATTTATAAGGTTATGGGAGAAATGTGTCATTGCACACTGCCGTGTAGCCGCAGACCAAACAGTGCCTTTGATGACCCCAGTCCTCCGCCGAAAGCTTCTACAATGGCCATGTGAGCTTCAGGACATTTTCTTTTACATCACGTGGACGGCTGTGAACGTGTGCGCTGTTTACCTGGAGAAAGTGGAGGGAGCGTGATGCAAATTCACTATAATTCATTTGGAAAATTAAAAGGTTTGAAGGAAGGATACATTTAATTCCAGTAGCCACTCCTCATTCTTTGCAAACAGTAACATGAGTCTTGCATTTTGGAGGAATTTACTGTAAATAGTCTCGATCTGAGGGGTTGCATTTTCATCGACGTGGCTGGCACAAAAGCAGATCTTTTGAAGTAGTCATATAAGTGAGGAGGTGAGGCAATGCCCTTCATTGACATGATATACTGGCGCCAAACTGGTGCAGAGGAGATAATGTGTATTATGGAGTGCTGGAACTATATCCCTCAGTGCATACACAATCAGCTTTAGTGTTTTAATAGAGTTTCCCGTCATGCTTGGTTTCATTTCATTGCTAAAAGTATGCTTACCAATACGGTGTTCTCAAAGGAGGGACATGAGTGTCCAATAAAAAGCGTACGAATCACAGGTTGTGAGTTTCCTAGGGAATCTTGCTTCCACCGAGTCTCAGCCTCAGACATCACATACGCAGAACGTACATGGCAGAAGCTTCATGAGTTTCTAAAGCCCCTTTCACACAGCGCGTTGATCCCGGAAAATTGCTGGGAAATTGCCAGAACGCCTTCTGTGTGAACGCAAACACGACCCGGGATTGATACTGGCACCGATCCCGGGTTGGGGACCTAGTAATATTGCCGGGATCTGTCCTGGAATGACCGCTGTGTGAACAAAAGCCAGGACCAATGCCATAAGCCCCTTTTTCACCAAAGCATTTTGAGAGCCGGTTCGGAGCCGGTGCCTGCGCGCGAACCAGTTCTTTGTTTTTCGACAGCCAAAGAACCGGTTCTCGGCCGGGAAAACTGGTTCCAAAGCGGCACCAACTCTTTGCTGGACTAGAACCGTTCTTTTACCACGTCATGCTTACGTCGGGGGCTGGGGCGGGTTTAGATGTGTTTTAAACGTCTTTTCTGACCATAATAAAGGATCGCAAAGCCAGGAGAAACATTTGCAGAAACACGATGGAGTCCGCCTTTGTTGTAAAGCTTGAAGTTGGCGCAAGCGTTTTTTTTTTATTTGAAACATAAGCAAAGAAAACAGTCACGATATAGAACAAATAAATGGAAAGAAAGAAAGACACAAGACAGGGGTACATAACTTATCAGAAAAGATTACATATCAAAAACGAAAAGTTTAAAAGACTTACATATTTCAATTGTTTTTAAGTTAAAGAAGTTTAAGTGTACTTTAAAGGAATACTGTACTAAAAATATTTAATAGAAAATATACTTTCCAAAATAAATTTTACTTAAAAATTTCCTTGTCGCAACTCTGACTTTCTAACTCGTAATTAACTAGTAATTCAGACTTTATTTCTCACAGTTTCGACTTTTTGAGTTTTGAATGAACTCGTATTTTTTTTTTCTATTCTGTGGTGGAAACAAGTTGTTCGAAACTAGTCGTCTGTAAAACAAGTCGCGTTGCCAAACCTTCAGACTGACGGCAACATTTATTGACCAAAAGCCACCCAAAAGTTCATCCGAATGGCATCTAAAACAACCAGTGACAGTTCGTTTTGTTCAGCATCACGTTTAGTGGCGTGGAAATGTAAACTCAATGTTTCTGCAACAACAGACTGGCATGTAAAACAGTTTTTTTATACTGTTTATGCCGTGAATTTCACGTATTTCATATGCTTTTGAAAATCCAGCGTTTAGTTGATCATGATAAGCACTTATTGTCACAGTTGTAAACACAACGGATTTCTTCTTCCATGAGGGGGCTTGGCTTCATGACGACTTTGTTTCCATGCAGAACGTTGAAGAACATGAAACGCTCGTCTCCCGGAATTCCTGTAGAATTCATCCAATCAAATGATGACTTAAGCCCCTTTCACACAGAGATTCCGGTAAATACACGGATAATGTGACCCGGGATTGGTCCCGGGATTGTTTGATTTCGGTTCGTTCACACTGCCAGTGATTTGCCGGGATCTTTGAGTGCGTTTACACACAACCTGTAAATATCCCGGAAAGACACATGACGTCAGGATGACACGTGTAACTTACGCGTCGAAAACATGTACACACGCGTCGCATACCGTTCCACAAAGCTGCTGAACGATCTCAGTTTCAGCACGGATAGAAAGGAGCTCCTGCTCTGTGCTTCGTTCCAGTTTGCAGACATTTGTTCGTCCTTTCTTTGTTGATGACGAACTCAAACTTTCTTCTAAGAGCAACGGAGTCACGCGATGGCACGAGCGTCATCACTATTACCCCTTTTCCACCCAAAAAGAACTGGTTCGGAACTGGTGCTGGTTCAAAGTTGGTTCGGAGTTGGTTCAACTTGCGAACCCATTCAGAACCCGTTTGTTTTGCCACTGACTAGAGCGCCCAGGGAACGACGTTGTTACATCACTGTGTACGTCGCTAGAAACGCTTGCAAGTACATTACTTTTTTTGATTATCTCTAACTCATGCACCAAGAAGGCTTTAACAGAAGTACTGTAGGTTTTAGTCATTATATACAATCATTGGTGAGGCTGCAGTCAGATTTATGGCTCGTCCACACAAGCAAATGAGAGACAAAATAGTTTTTTTGGGGGAAAGAAGAGAAATTCGGCACACTTGAGAATAATCACTCAAAATACATGAACATAAAGAACTACCTGCATGTGATATTCCAGTTGTGTGCTTCTATTATATGGCGAATTGTAAATACAAGAGCTGTCAATCTGAGTGATCAATCTAATCCAAGTGCAAACCAATCCCGATTGTTTTTAGTCCCTAAACCCATTATACCCATCCACCATTCTTGAGATCCAGTTTCTATTCGTTGACCTTCCAGATGTTGTCTAAAGACGCATCATCATCACCGCGACGGGGTCAGATCTAGGATTACGTATAGCTTCAGTAAAGCAGCATGCAATCCTACTCTATGAGGACTACATAGAGTTCTCGAGATCTATGTGTTGTATTATGTTGTTTTTGGGCTCACTTGAATCGAGAACACCTGCTCTAAGTACATAAATGTGATCTACTATGGTTTAGTAATGTTTGGTGAGGCTACAAACCAAAACGTGGCCTAATAGCTGCATGCCTCATCACTACATGAAACGATTATGCTTGTAGTATTCTGCTAGTTGATAGTGTATTTCACTCACTTTAAAATTTCATGCTGACTCTAAAATACAAAAAATGATGTAAACAAAACCATAAAAAAATATATAAAAAAAACACAGAACAAGAGAATTTGACTTGACATATTGTATATGACCTGCTGTGTGCAGTAGTGGACGTACAGTAAATATTGTATGACTGGCCCTCAGCACACACAGACAGAAAGCAGGAGTTGAGAGGAGTAACTGAACAGCGGCCCTGTTTGCTGCACAGTGGGGCGTTTTGTAAGATTTGAGCGGCACGTAAACAGTGCTTGCCTCAAAATCACAGCTTTAGTCTTTAGAAGCCTGCTGAGAAACCGTTTCAAATTAGCGGGTGGCTCATGAAACCGGCTTTTCAAGTGAAGTTCCCTGCAGGGCAGGAGGATATAGTGAAAATTCTTGATACAGTTGTTGTGATTTCTGCTAGAGATCAAGTTTATAAACTATAATATTATGGAGATAATAAAGCAGCATGGTGAATGCTGCAATGATTTTAAATATGTATCTTATTAGGCTAGTTTCGCAATGCTTTCTTCTCGCACAATTTGTGGGTCTGAGTGAGATTTGATCAGATGACTGTCGTCAGACAAACTTAGTTCCTAATATTATATATTTAAATATATTTCATGATCAACACAATATATTTAATTAATAATAACTAAGTGAACTGTTTTCTATTTTAATATATTTTAATTTATTCCAGTGACGGAAGGCCGAATTTTCAGGATCAGTATCACATGACCCTTCAGAAATCATTGTAATACGCTGATTTGATAGTAATAATTCTAATTATCAATGTTGAAAACAGTTGTGCTGCTTAATATTTTTGTATAAACCGTGATGCTGTTATTTTTCTTTGCTTAATATAAGTTCAAAAGAACAGTATTTATTTATTTATTAATTATGAATATATTAATTATTATTATTATTTTTTTTAATTATTAAAAAAGGTGTTCCAGAGTCCGACTCTATCCCACCCCAGGGTCCATCCACAGACTGCATTAGCAGCAGCTCTGCTCAGTGTGGACCAGTGCTGTGGCCCCCATGGAGAGCCAAGCATAGTGAAGGTGAATCTAAGAAACAGAGGAAGGAATTAAGAATTCAGTTCACGCACACATCCGCTCCTCTCACTGGAGCGATACTTTGTTACCACTCTGTCAGAGCTGTGGAGAAAGAGTTGGGTATCTGAGTGGGAGCCAATGTTTTTACTGTCGATTATGTACCTTACAAAAGACATGATACACAGCAATTACAAACGTCAGACACCCGAGATGTGCTCAAAGATCAGCTCATTTTTTTCTAAAGGCCTCTCATTAGAGTCTTCCAGGAATGCTTCTTTTCAGAAAACAAAAGAAGGAGAATATTTTTAAATAGAACTGAGATCACATTATCAATATGATGAACTACAGTACCATATGATCTGAACAAGATTCAAGTCCATTGTTTCAATTCCAATTGGATATATATATATATATATATATATATACTGTATACTGTATATATATATATATACTGCTCAAAAAAATAAAGGGAACACTTAAACAACACTTAAAAATTAAAAACAAGACAGATCATTCATTCAAATCATTCAGATCTATGATGTGTTATTTTAGTGTTCCCTTTATTTTTTTGAGCTGTGTGTGTGTGTGTGTGTGTGTGTATATATATATATATATATATATATATATATATATATATGTATATTAGAGCTGGGCAAAGATTAATCGCGATTATATATAAATAATACACACACATGCATGTATATATTTAAGAAATATTTGCATGAATATAGTGTATATATATATATATATTTAGATAGATAATTTATATTAAATATAAATATTAATATTTTATATATTAATAACACATTTTTCTTAAATATATACATGCACATGTGTGAATTTGTATATACTAAATAAATATACACAGTAGACACACATATATTATGTAAACACAAACTTTTATTTTGGATGCGAATAATCGCGATTAATCTTTGCCCAGCCCTAATATATATATATATATATATATATATATATATGAAGAGTTCAGATGCAAAAGCCTCTAAATGCCATTTGAAATTTTCTTCTTTAATGATGATTTTTATCAAACTTGTATATTCAAGTCCAGTAATTTCACTTAAATAACAATTAATAGGTAATTACCATTGCCATTTAAGTGAAATCACTGAACTTAAATATACAAGCTTGACATAAATCATCATTAAAGAAGAAAATTTCAAATGGCATTTAGAGGCTTTTGCATCTGAACTCTTCATATATACACACACACACACACACACAGGGCTAGACATTAACTTTTTAATGTTAATGTGGCTAGTCGATTTCCAAAGTTACGAGCCATTCGGCAATTTCACTGGCCGCAATTTTGACTGATCTACGTATAGAACTGTAATACTCTTGACGTCAGAAAAAGTTAAGCCACCGCATCGCCATATTGGTATTCCCTAGTAGGCTAAACATAACAACACCGTTTTTATATCTAAAGTCTCCCTTTATATTCCTACAATGCGAAAACCTTAAGCATGCAAATTGTTCATATTCATTACAATAGTGAACATCAGCTTGGCAGGTGGACGAGACACATCCTCTCTGCAAAGACCGTAAATATTACGTAATATAAGTAACAATTCATTTTCCGACGCTGCAAATCGTTGTGCTTGAATTCAATTGTTTTATTTGTGATAACACAATGAAACGTGCAAAATTGTGTGGAGATCATTTTTCCCCCCCAGGCTTTCATGTGACATGACAGTTTCCTTGTCATTCCGCATCCAAAATGATACGGTTTTCATGAGGGTGATAAATTAATGATACCATATTCTATTAAATTGCTTTTTATTGATTGCTTTATTGAGCAATTTTCTATGATTTAAATGTATTTTTGCAGAACAGAAAGTCAAATCTGACTTGAGCTTTGAAAAAAAGAATAATTCTTTCCTATTCTTTCAAACATGCTCACAGTCCTCATCTATAAAACAATGCGGCAAGGTCAAAGTAAGACACAGACAAGGTGAGGCAGGTGTAAAATGAGCTACAGATCACAGGAGGAAGTGAATCATCTACAGTGAATCATTTACACAGTCTGCCAATTCCCTTCAATCTGCATTATCATCTCGATGTCGGTTCGACTGACAAAACCACAAGTAAAAGTAACATACAATTGAACTCTATGGGGCAGGACGCCAGTGTATTTAAAGCTAAAACTATTAAAGGGGAGATATGATTTTTATGAACAGAGCGACAAGTCACAATTATTTCTATCCTTCATGGCTCGGATGCTGACGATAGAGTTTGTTGTATTTACCCAGAGCATTGTATTGAGGCAAGCTGTCACCACCTTCCATCTTTCGCTCCTTCACGGCGGCCGACAGCAGTAAATCAGTCTATTCATTCCTTCATGCTCCTGCAGGAGTTGTTTTCCTCAGGTTATGACTAATACACACAGTTTCCATATGGTAGGGTGGGTATTTGTTTAAAAAGCAACTGAGTAATGAGATTGCACGGCTGGTTAGGGACTGAACGGCGGGTTTTCTGGTGACAGAAATATGCGTTTATTCTGCATATAAAGGGAGTTACAACGAGAGAAAGAGGACGGGTTGAGAACATGGAAGATGACTAAAAGAAAGCCAATCTGTGGTTTTACACGCAGAGCTTGACTGATAAAGGAAGAACAGTAAGCAGCATTTATTGGCACTGGGTGTATATAACTGTATGGGTAAATCTTCTCTCACCGGGGGAGCAGCCAGCCAGCCGTACTTGTCCTCCGTGCGGTTCATGTCTCGGTCGAAAGCGTAGAGCTGACTGTAACGCAGGTCAGCCATATCAAGAAGGTTGAACTGCCGGCGGGCGTAATGATAACTCTCATTGTTACCGACTCGTGGAAAATCCAGCCATTCTGGATGGCCGAACTCATTGCCTGCAATTAAACACAACAGAGAAGATCGTTTTACACAAATACATGTTCAACTGAAGAAAAATGCTTCAAAAGCAGTTGGTTTGAGCGTCCAATACAAATGCAGTATTTTGACTTCGTAGTAAATGTGACTGTTTCTACTGACAATAAATCCACTTGACTTGACTACTGCGAATAGATTCATTTACACTCTCAGAAAAAAAGGTACAAAAGCTGTCACTGGGACTGTAACTTTTCAAAAAGTAAACTTTTGTCCATTTTAGGTGCTAATATGTACATTTTAAGTAGGGATGCACCGATCCACATTTTTTCACTTCCGATCCGATCCCGATACCTGACTTTGGATATCGGCCGATACCGATACTTTTCCGATACCAGAGCTGTGTTTGCTTTAATAGTATTTATCATTATTGTTGATTTTATATGATGCTGAAATAAACTCCTCTCTACAGGCAAGGATGATATGTACATATGTATGTATGTCAATATATATATATATATATATATATATTAAACAATAGATAGACAATTAAACAAAGATAGACATTATACAGGCCTACACAGTGCTTTAATTTCAGGAAGGTCTACAAACATTGTTCAGGTATGGTCTTAAAAAGAATTATAATAAAGTAATCAAAAGTAAAATAGCACTGCAAAGTTTATCATAGATAGATTTATGCTTATTAAAGCTGAAGTAATTCATTCAAGAGCTGTGAGTGATTTTCTCTTTGCTTTTGGCTGTTTGATTCTCAGTAATGTCGCAATCGTCACATTTATACTGCTGCCCCTTTAAGAACGAGTTCAGATTTCATAGTCTACTGATGCACCATATTTTCTCCCAAATATTTCCATAACTACGTTCATTTTAGACATAATAAATTGTTTAAGTGTTAATCTCCAAGTCGGTCGGTTTGACATTTTTGTGCAGGCTACATTTGATCGTTTAGACGCGCATATGAAGCCCAGAGTATAATTTGCTTGTCTTGTTGCGGTCTGTTTCGGAGCGTGCCGCACTGGGAACAGCATCTCTTGCGCAAATTTTGTGCTTTTAATAGCTCTTTTTATTATTAAAAGCGTCCCGCAATTTAGTAACAGCAGAGACTGCATTTTACTACAATCATCGATCGTGCTGATTCTGTCTTAAAGTTTGAGTTTTAGGGAGAAATGACAGCGCACCGCCGCGATGGGAAGGAAGTTGGATAGACAGAATGCGGCTATTGTTTTTAATGTTTTTTTTTTTTTTTACCTCAATATATTCTTTAATATTTGGAAATCAGACTAATATCACAGATCTAAAGTGTAACCAGGCTACGTTTCCTCTGTCGTCACTCATTACGCCGGGCTGTCATGTTGTGCTTGCTGTTGCACCGCGTGAGAGATCTCTCTCTTTCTCTTCTGGACTGCGAATTGCAAACATGCATCAAATAGTTTAATTAATACGGCTTTGCAAACATTGCACTTTGCTGTCTTGCTCTGCACTGCAGCGGTGTTTCCAGTTCCACTATATGATTTCCACACAGCGAACATGTTATAGCTCAGTGCTATCCTGCTAGCTGGCTGCAAACTGCGGAATGGATTTCCTGAGCGGGGGTGTGTCTCATTGAGCCCTATGTTTTACAGTCACTGATTGAGCTGCACCTCCGTTCAGGATATCCATTCCACAGTTTGCAGCCAGCTATAGCAGACTAGCAGGCCCGGCGGGAATCACTTTTGGAGTCATTTCAGCAGACAACGTTAAAGCGCAGACATGGATCATAAATATCGGATTTCTCCGCAGGTTGGATCGGAAAAATCCGATACGTGAATTATGCTGGTATCGGTCCCGATACCGATACTGGATCGGCCCCATCCCTAATTTTAAGTATTAATATGTACATTTTAGGTACTAATATGTCCATTTCAGGAGCTAATATGTACATTTTAGGTCCTAATATGCAAATTTCAGGAGCTAATATGTACATTTTAGGTGCTAATATGTCCATTTCAGGAGCTAATATGTCCATTTTAGGTCCTCATATGTACATTTAGGTACTAATATGTACATTTTAGGTGCTAATATGTCCATTTCAGGAGCTAATATGTCCATTTTAGGTCCTCATATGTACATTTTGGGTACTAATATGTACATTTTAGGTGCTAATATGTCCATTTCAGGAGCTAATATGTACATTTTAGGTCCTCATATGTACATTTAGGTACTAATATGTACATTTTAGGTGCTAATATGTACATTTAGGTACTAATATGTACATTTTAGGTGATAATATATCAATTTCAGGAGCTAATATGTACATTTTAGATGCTAATATGTACATTTTAGGTGCTAATATGTACACTTAGGTACTAATATGTACATTTTAGGTGCTAATATGTCCATTTCAGGAGCTAATATGTCAATTTTAGGTCCTAATATGTACATTTAGGTAATAATATGTCCATTTCAGGAGCTAATGTGTCAATTTTAGGTCCTAATATGTACATTTTAGGTGTTAATATGTACATTTAGGTAATAATATGTACATTTCAGGAGCTAATATGTCAATTTTAGGTCCTAATATATACATTTTAGGTGCTAATATGTACCACTAAGGTACCAATATGCAGCCTTTTGGTACAAAAGTGTACCTTTTGAAAAGGTACAGCCCCAGTGACAGCTTTTGTACCTTTTTTTTCTGAGAGTGTAGGGATAATAGTTAATAACCCTCTGTCAATCGGACTGTCCGTGGGAAGGGATATAAAAAATACTCATTAGTATTATCTGTAGTTTTTATAAAAGCCTTAGAGCTGTTAAAAGTCCACTGGATGGTGTGTTTCGTGTCATCCGGCGGACTTTTGCTGACAAATAAACGTGAATTACTCTGTCCTGGTAATACTGAAAGAGATTAAACATTCTTAATTTACATATACGTACTACCGACATTCCAACAATACAAAGAAAAGCAAAAAAAAAAAAAAAGCATTAAGCCTTGCAGAGATTCGGAGATTTAGGGGTGGGCTTTTATTCTTTTCTTTTAATAAACTTAGGCCACTAAATAACCACCAATCAAGGCCCAAGCAAGTAAGCTGTCTTCACCCCGAAAGTCCCTTTCCCCTCTCAAAGCACCTCCTGCTGTGAATGTTCACTTCAATCCCGCTGCCATTATCAAACCAAGACAAGGGAAGTGCATTGCTTCAAGACCTATTCCCAGAGCGGGTGTTTTTTAGTTTATTTTCTAACAACCGAATGAATGCTAAATGAATTCGCAGACCCTTTATTCATAACATTGCTGAAAGAACAGAGAGAAACACCACAAACACACAAGCATAATGAACCAGGAGACGAAAAGATATGACTGAATAATGCATTATGAAACACAAAATGACCTTGTCTGAGGGTTAAGTAACAGGAATAGAAAATCCTGCCTTTTGATGTACCACTTTTTGTCTCAATGCACTGTAAAATATGAGAAATTGCCAAGTTTTTCCCACCAGATTTACATGTAAGTATAGGCCTATATTATCTTATATAACTATCTCTAGGGTCCAAAATGAACTTTTAGTCAACTGCAAACTACAGGCAAAAATTAGTTTTTATATAATACATTTAAAATATGTTACACAACAATATATTATATTCTATTTTTATTGAAAATCTTTTTGAACATTTAATTTTCATTTTAGTGGCTTAATTGAAGGATTATTTCATTTGTTTTATATATTTGGAAACCTTCATGTAAAACTTTTTTTTTTCATTTAACTCAAAAATTTTTTTTTTTTCAATTGAAATAAAGTTGAAATTAGATGGGAAAAACTCAAACTAAACAAAAATTAGGAATTGCCGAAATAAGTTAGAAGTTTAAAACTGAAGCACTAAAATTACTGTATAGATATTAAAATGAAAAACAAAAACCTAAAATGAAAACTAAAATCTAAATAGATAAACCTGAAGTGTATAAAAAAATAAAAAATAAAATAACCAGAGCACATTATTAGTAAAAATTTAATTAAAATTTAAATGATGACATACAATATAAATACTATATAAATAACTGGTTCAGATGCTGAATAATTCATTCAGACGGCATGGATTTATATGAATAAATATATTTTTGACGTGATATTTGTTTATAAATATTTGCAGCAAAATTTTAGTCACCGTTGTTTGTGATTGACACAATGATTGTGTTTTGTCTCACTCTTTTTCCTCTGCCATTTTTCATAACCTGGGAGAGCTTGACAGTCCTAACATTACTGACTGACAGCAAAAAAATAACCTAAACCAAAACTGTGTGATATCAGAGCTGTACTTAAGCAACACAAACACAACTGACAACCGTATTCTGCATAAATATTCAGTCATATCAGTGATGTTAACTAGCCTTCAACTAAAACAACAGAGTTTTTGTGAGGATCACAACAGCAGGGTTTGTGTGAATTCCTGGACTCTGAAGGCACGATGATCTCAGAGATGAGGATGGCAGTGGACATCACAGACAGGACTGGAGAGAAGAGAGCCAGCCAATATATTTACAAGCGGAGCGTGAGCAGTGGAATAAGAGGCAAAGAGAGCGTTGTGACAGTCTTGTCAAGCCGAGTGATGAGATAATGAATCCGTCATCAGCTGACAAGACAACATCATAAAACAAAAGTTGGGTAATTGAATTCCGAGGAGGCGCTTTGACAAGCAAGAGAACAGAGTCACAACAATGGTGATGAGGTAAGTTGTTTATTCAGACGAAGAAGGAAGGAGACAAGAAGATGGAAATAAAAATGGATGCCTCGACGAGGTGGAACGGACAAGGAGTGACAGTGCTTTCTAATGAAATAAATGACGTAGCTGTAGTAGAAATGTCCAAGCATATGCAAACAGGGAGGAAGTGCACGTACTGTGAAGATGTTCACTTAAACAATCTGGCAAGCTAAACCATTTTGGTGGATAGATGCAACTTCCATGGGTCATAATCCCATTTAAAAACTATATTTGGAAACATTACTATTTTTAATGTTTATGTAGCCACTTTTTG